AGTTTACGGTACTATAAACCTGTTAGAGATATATAGCAGCTCTACTAGATGAACGTTACATCTTGCTATATTCCAAACTTATTTTTCAACATTAATTCAAGTATTTATGGAATATACTTGAACCCCACATCTTATCATTGTATTCACAATTGTGTTATATACCCTAAATGATTAAATACAGTTGTCTGATCAGTAAATATAATTATAAATGTTGGTCAAAATAGTCTTCATTTCCTACTTGAATCCTTCAACTTTAAATCAGTTGCTTTTTTAGACATGTCCCATCAAACCGATTCAATCATAGTTATTGATAACATGCTAAAGTAACAATACCGAAATAAAATCTCAAAAAAAATCAAAAGTCATATGGGTGTATATGATGTTATATAAACCTTAAAGTCTCACAGAATAAGGAAGCATGGATCCATTCATTTATTTACCCAATATTGATCGTAAAAGTACACGTGGTATGAAACACGCCCTATGATGTTTTCTCCCATTAGGGCGTATGTCATATCCAGATCATAGTTCATGTATTATCCGATACCTAACTTGAGTTCTTCTTATGTTCATTCATTCAGACAATCTCAAATCGAGAATTCGATATGACTACTAAACATGTTTAATGGATTAGAAAAATTCATTTTGATTACTTGTTGCAATCTCATCTTAATATATCATCAATGCTACTAGATCATGTACACAACATGATCATTATGTCTCATCTCATCACACTCCAAAATGTCTGAGGCGAATGCTCGTGTGAGTGAGCTAATCTAAAACGTCGATAATTTTCAATTTGTGATCTCAACATTTCAACGATTTTCAATGAGCTAGATTCCGACAGTGAGAATCGAGATTTCTTCGGAGAGTTTTCTGTAGCTTTTTTCTTTTGTTCAATTCATAATTTGTTAAGTGGGAGAGTCCAGTTTGAAATGGAAACATATCGTAACTGAATGCTTGATTTTAGAATAACTATATAATCTATATATGTATACTATATATATAATACACTATATATTATTTATCACATGAGTTTTGAATGTTTCAAACTTATCTCTTGAAATTGAAATAGTGTATAGTAAACACTTGATATACGTATTCTTTCCTTTCAATAAACGTAAGTGAATTATTTGAAATTACCCCATTCATTCATTTAATTATTTATTTATTTTTATAATGTCTACATGAAGTTTCTTAAAGTTTAAAGTTACTCACCAACTGTTTTTCCGACAAATAAGATTCAACAACTACTTTCGAACTGAATTTTTCGGTCCATGATGACTTTCACCTTCAATGTTATACACTGCACAGATTGTGCAAAATGAAGTGATCCATGACCCGATTATAACTTATGAGATAATATAATTTGACAAGAAAAGAAAAAAAAAAGAAAGGGATTCAACATGTTTTTAATTTTGGGTGAAAAACCCTCAACGTGAAGTGAAAAAGTACGGGATTCTATTTATCCCTAAATCTTTAATACGACGACATCGTATTCTTTTCTTATAAAAATAAAGGATTGTCACTACGTTCGAAAACTTCTCGTTAATGTTACTTTTTATAATTTTTACTCAAATTAACATAAATTTCAACAAATATTAAAAGAGAGAGTTCGGATATCACCAAAATACCATCAATACAAGTGAGTACACTATGATTCAAATGTATATACACATATGATCAAGATGGTCACCTACAATTTACTTTACTCTCTATTTGGTAGGAGTCAAAGCCAACAATTAATTTTAACCACATATTTTATAAAATTTAACTTTTCAACCACATATTTCTCGAACTTTTATTAAAATATATTAAAAGTATGATTTTAGTCCCCATCCAATAGGAGCTTATATTACTTCCGAGCGGCTCCTATCGATCGAAACCACGTGGCACACAATTCTATCAACAATGTCAAATGTACCCTAATTAGAAACTCTTAAATTATATATAACCAAATTGACGGCATCTAAATGTTTACTCACGAGAGGTTGAAATAGAGTCATAAAATTCAATGCAATATTGTCCTTTATGTCCCACACACTCATCAAACAATCACGATAATTTTTGCTTATAATAAAAAGGGTCTCCATGCCTTACATTCTCACTACAAAAAAAATTCACTTAACAAATTGCCATTTTGCTTATAATTAATTTTCTGTTGATTATGGCTTCATACAAGTGGTTCATCTTCTTCTTTCTCATCACTCTATCTTTCTCAAGTCTTGACAAAGTGTCAGCAGGCCGATCTCGTCTCTTGGCACAAACATCGAATTATCCTGGTTTGTTCGCTCCTTTTTTCCCATTGCCTTCTCTTCCTACTATCCCCAACTTGCCACCGACTACATATCCTACATTCCCTATCCCCGCCACCGGTAGGCCAACTGTTCCATATTTTCCATTTCCTGGTGTTCCACCTCCAGCAACTACTCGTCCATGAGGGCATTGCTTTCACTGCTCGACATGTCGCGAATATAAGATTCTAGCTTCATTTTCTACTTAAATAAATAGTGTCGAGTACGTTACAATTTACGTAATGGTGGTGTAAATGTGTAAATATATTGCCTGAACGTTTCAGCTGATAGAAGATCCATGGGCATATTTGTGTATCTATATGTTATTTTGTTTTCTAATGATTATTAAGAATGATATATGTTTTTAGTTATATTAATAATATTGGGTTGTTGATTCTCTGTTGATTTTCTTATCTTAGTTTCTTTGTTTATGGCTTGGAACTTAAATTCTGCTTTGTAAAATCATGTCATCGATACTACTTCGTGAAAATTTGTACAAATTATGTTACGAAAATTCTCCTACTATTTCATGCAAGATTTCATAGTAAACTTTTGATGCAGTATGAAAACACAAGAATTACCCGACCAAGATAGACTGGCAAAAGTATCATCTAAAATGATTTGTCTTGTCAAGTTTTTGTATACCCATGGATCTTTCAGCAAGTTCTTGTAGGACATCATCTATTTACACAGGAGGTGATAAGAAACTGGAGGAATCATCGTTCTACCATGTACAGATGCTGTAATATAGTTTTTTCGAGACAGTTCAACAGATAAATCGAAAGAAAAACTAGAATTTCTCCATTAGTCATTTGTGTTTATTATTTGTAAGAAATATTACACCAATAATGTGCATATTATATTCATCAAGAACATGCCATTAATATGCTTGAATTCGAAATATCATTCGACTTACTGAAATCTAATTTGAGAAGACAAATTAGT